AAGTTTGTTAAATTTGAAATGATATTTAATTCAGATATACATATACCAAATATGTTTTATTACTTTTTGTGTAAAACTATTCACATGCAACGCAGGTGCTGCGTTGTTAGTAATTTAAAGTTTAAAGTAGTGCTTAACTTATGGATAATAGTATCCATTTATTATTGTCGGGTACAAGGTTGGATGGACTCTATAACATATTTATTTTTTTCTCTCAATCAATAAAAATATAATAATATACAGTAAAGTTATTTACATCATGATTGATACTATTCGGAACATATTTTGTATTTTTTGACACAATAATCCTAATATTGAAATCACTAAATTTCATAAGATAATAATGTCATAATTTGAAATCACTAAATTTCATAAGATAATAATTGTTAAAATTAATGGCATGAATGTAATTAAAAATACCTAAGAAGTTTTTTGAATTTATATTTACAGAGTCGAGGAAAAAAAACATTGAGCGTGGGTAGACCCATATTGGCTTCACCAGTGACTTGGCCGGCGATGAGTGAATAGAGGGGGATGAGATTTAAAGAAAGAATTTAATGTGAAAAGGAAAAAAGAAATGGTAATCGAAGTTGGGATTAATTTCATATTTCTTATAATCGATCATAGGTATCTGTGATCGATCATGACTTTTTTTTGAATAGTTGTAATTTCTGATTTTAAAGTTATAATTTTACCGTATAAAATATTAATCAAAAGTATCAATACCAAAAATCGTACGTTGCGTTTGGTATGCGGTAATATTTTTTAGTAGGAATGAAATGAGTTTGAGAATGAAATGAACTTGAGAATGAAATGAAATGTGTATTCCAATGTTTGGCAACCGTTAAGAATTAAATGCTGCAATTGAATGTCCATTCCATTCTCATGTTTGGATAAAACAATTTTTTCATTGGAATGAAAATAAATTTAACCAAAATATCCATAGTGATTAAAAATAATTAATAACAATATTTTTTTTTTATGATTGCAATTACCTTTGAAAGTTATGTGTAAAAAAATTTATAATTAAAAAAAATGAGAATCTATTGAAAAAAAAATTAAACCCCTATAAAATTTTAAAAAAAATAAGAAAACAAAATCCTTCAAAAATAGGTTTGCAAAAAGAAATTAAAATTAAAATAAAAAAATATTTAAAATAAAAAATATTTAAAATTTATCATTCATTTCAAATGAACAACTATAGTTCTTTGTGAATTCAATAGAGTACATGTGCAAACCCAAAAAGAAAACTATTAAGACAATTAAGAATCTTATCCGAACATACAGGTTGAACTAAAAAATAAATCGATGAAAAATAAGTCTAAAAAATAATCAACAGAATAACAAAAATAAAAACAAGTTGAATAAAAACAAAAATTCTTAAATTCCATTCATTTCATCTCAATTGCATTGGAGGTAGAATTCCAAAAAACAAAATCATTCTCAAATATAAGTACAAAAAATTACACTATTTGTGTATTTGCTCTCCACTCATCAAACATTTTGTTTGTCAAATTCAATCTAAATGTTGACCACTGGTTAGATGTTTCAACCGTGGTAATACATTCATCATGTGCATCATTTTTCACCACAAGACCTGTTGCATCTACCTCCGTCTTGATTGGGTCTATTGACATCTGATTCCTGATATAGTTGTGAAGCAAACAATAAACTATTATTATACGATTCTATAACCATAGAAAATATACACACCATAGAACAATGCCAATAAACCCTAGAAAATTAACAAATAAATAAGGAAAAAAAAACAAGCTCTATACATTTAGCATCTTAATTTGTCCTTGTTTGCAGTTGGAATCTTTGGCCAAATATGCAAAGAAGGGAAGAGTTCATTATGCACATGTTATTGTAGGAAGAACTTACAAAAGTAAGTATTTTACTATCTCACTGCTTAGCACTGCTTAGTTGGTTCACTTGTCAAAGATGCCAATTTGTCACTGGAACAAAAACCATAACCTTGAAATTTTAATATGCAACCCATCCAAGTAGAGACAGAGATAGGGTGCAGATGCACCACATTCTCAGTGTGACCTTGCATAAAAAAAATTCCCTTCAATCCAAGTTACATACAAATTTTCATAAACATAAAAAGTAAAAGCCAAATCACATATATTAAAGATAACAAAGACAAAACAAGTAGTTATTGATTTGTGTGGATTAATTTCTTTATTTGTTTACAAGTAATATTATTAAGACCTAAAAATTTAATCTAATTATTAACTTAATGATGTGATTTATTTGGAGTTTATTGTAGTGAGGAAGGGAGAGGATTTGTAGAGGCTTTTGTGTGTGAGAGAGAAAGAGAGAGAGGGGAGAGAGATGACACGGTTAGGGTTGCGGTTGGGTTGGGCACGATATTATCGTTCAAATATAGACCGGCATACTTGTGATGGTTCCCAAGGGTCTAATATGACCACTTAGGTCTATGTTTGCCACGGCTCTATGGAAGTCGGTGGGTTGTTAGAAGTTCAACCCAATTTTTTTTGGTGTCGTAGGGGAGGGATTGACCTTTCTTACGCATATTTAGTCGTACCGATGGGAGATGAGTGTGTTTTAGAAATTATAAAGTATGATTTTAACATTTTTAATCTTCACGCGTAATTTTGAGTGTTTGATTATCTACATCCATCAATTTTTTATTTTTTTTTAAACATTACATCCGTCAATTATCTACATCCGTCTTGTTCAATTAGTTGCATCTGTCATTTTTTGCATTTTATTTTTAAGGATAAGAGGATTTAGTGTGAAAGTTAAAATTACGAGGAGGTTATCTACAAATAACCCCAATTATAGAGTTTTTTTTTTTGCATTTAACCCAAAAATAAATAAACAAATTCTAACTATAAATACTTTTATCACTTTCATCTATGTTTCATTTATCCCTTCCTAGTTTCATCTCTTCTTTCTCTTGTCTGCTTCTCTTTCTCTCACGTCCATCATCCGCCATATCATCCTCTAGCAAGAATGTTACCCCATTCTTTCCGAAAGAATGTTACCCCCATTTGGTATCTGGGTTTTCGCTGGAAAAATAACACATGTACTAAGAAATTTGCCAAGAAGTTGAAGTCAGAGCCAAACCCCAAAAACAACCCTAACCAAGAAATCCCAATTAATGTGTCGTATGCTATTTTGGCGATTGTAATTTTTCTATTCTGCTTTCTCATCATTTGTCTATTGTTTGAACTTCTTTATAGTATGAAGAAGAAGCCAAGGGAGGAGAAAGCGAAGGGGAAGAAGTGATGGAGAGAAGACAAGTGAAAAATTATGCAAAAATTAGAGCTGAGAAAATATTTTCTAGAGATTTATGATATGATTTATTTTTAAAGTTTTAATGATTTTAGGATCGGACACGATTAAACAATAAAATAAATTTTAAATTTTGGCTCTACCGTTGAGCCTACCTTGATTGAAACTTAGAATGAGTGATTATTAATTGGGTAAGTATGAAATTGAAGAAGAGTTGTACTTCTAAGATACGTTAACCAAGGCCATGATATATTCTTTTTCTCTCTCACTCACTCTCTCTCTATATATATATACTAGTCATAACTCGTACATGAAGGTACAATAAAATATAAAATTTGAGCGTCTAAAAAATCGATCACATTATATTAAATTTTTTCAAAATATATTAACTACAAATTAATTAAATATTAAATATGTGATATAAATGAGTTATGTGATATTTTTAGGGAGGAAATATATAAATGAGTTGTGTGATATTTTTAGGGAGAAAATATATAAATGATTAAATATGTGATAGAAATGAGTGATGCGATTTGACGTTTGAGTCTAACAAATGGATGATCGGTGAGGTAAGTGATTGGTGATATTTTTGAGAAAAAAAATATGACTGAAATAAAATTCAAACACACTCCTATTTTATTATATAGATATATATATTCTTTCATTTAGATTTTATAACATCGCTCTGTTAACAATGACAGGGTGCATGTCTTACATTTTCTCCCTGTCGAATTTGAACTTTAAAAACTCTATTATCTCCAAACAATTAACTACAACGTAAATATACACAACAATCAACAAACTACGTATTAAATATCATATCAGTGAAAACGTCAACTAAATCAAGGCAACATAATAACAAGACAAGAGCGAGCGAGAGAGAGAGAGCAACAAGCCTACGCGAAGAAACGCAGAATGTGATTCTTCCTGTTGGGATTTTTGACCTCTTCTCACGTTAAGCCCCGAACCAGTAAAACCCTAGGATTTGTTTGGTAATATGTTATGTTTTATACAAAGAGACGGGCTGCGCAAAGGGCGAAAGGATACGGTGAGGAACAAATAGAATAGATTACACTTACACCCTTTAAACTATTATATTTTTTTTACTTTATTCTTTCAACTATAAATTTTTTTTATATTATACTTTCAGCTAACACTTTTATTTCACGTTGTCTAAATTACAAATGTTTATTATTTTTTTAGATGAAAATTATTGACGTGTCAGAGCAAAATAAAAAAAAATTACATAGTTTGAGAGATAAAATAAAATAAATTTTCGTTAATTAATTATATAGTTTAGGGTATAATATAAAAAATATGCTAGTTGAGGGGGTAAAATTAAAAAAAGGTAATCGTTTATGGGTGTAAGTGTAATTTATCCTAGAGAATATGCTGCCAAGTACTTTAAAAATGCAGGGACAAAAAAGTATTTTAACTCAATTATAGGGGAGATATAGTAAAAATAGCAACTCCCTGCGTTTCTCGATTGCAACGCACAGTTGACATATCAACAACACGCTTTGAACCTACGTCTCTTCTGCAACTCTCTTTCTCTCTCATTGATACCTTCCCCACTCCCTCCTCCCTCACCTTCATCAATTCTTCTCTACCACTTCACACGTCCTTGTGACCCCCCACCGCTTCATATTAAACCTTAACCACATTCAGCTCTGCCTCTGAATCAATTGATCTTCCGAATTCATCTGAAATTTACTCCACATTGCACTCAAACGATGTCGTTCGAAGAGGAAGAATCGTTCGAGCACACACTCCTGGTGGTCCGCGAAGTCTCCGTGTTCAAAATCCCTCCGAGAACCACCAGCGGAGGCTACAAGTGCGGCGAGTGGCTCCAGTCCGACAAGATCTGGTCGGGTCGGCTCCGAGTAGTATCGTGCAAAGATCGATGCGAGATCCGATTGGAGGATCCGAGTTCCGCTGAGCTCTTCGCTGCTTGTTTCGTACACCCGGGTCAGAGAGAGAGCGCGGTGGAGCCGACGCTCGATTCGAGTCGGTACTTCGTGTTGAAGATCGAGGACGGAAGGGGAAAGCACGCGTTTATAGGGCTAGGGTTTAATGAACGGAACGAGGCTTTTGATTTCAATGTGGCGTTGTCAGATTATGAAAAGCATGTGAAGAGAGAGAACGAGAAGGAATCGGGTGAAGCTAGTGATGAGAGTCAAATTGATATTCACCCCGCTGTGAATCACAGATTGAAGGTAAAGAAATTTTGAATTTGTGAACTGTGAAAAGTTGTTTTGTGAGTCTGGGTAGGATTAACTTTTGGTGATTTGGGTAATAGGAAGGTGAAACCATTCGGATTAATGTGAAGAA